CTGGGCCATAGAGACCCCGCAGGCCAGATCTGGCCTCGTCTGCGAAGCCAGCCACGAAAGAGCTCCGATCAAGGATCGGTTGTCTGCCAGCTGTTCAGCTGACGCCATCGCAAGTCCATCTTCCTTTGTATCGACCTCGACTTGAAAAAGGCGGCTGGACACGTAAGCTCCTTGGGAGATCCGGATCTCGTCCTTGAGCACCTCAATGTGAGAGCCGATGAAGTCGAAGGAGTCCGTCTCCCACTCTTCCACTGGAAAACAGTGGGAGAGCTGTTCCTGGACCAGGCGGTTCAAGGACCGCGGGCCAGCCAGGAGGATGTCGTCGACATGGACGGCGGCGTAACACAGGGGGTAGGAGTCCTCCTTCACGTTTCCGGCCGAGTCCAGTTCCATGAGCTGGAAGACGCACGGGTCGAGGGGAGAGTTCACGAACTTGGCGACCTTCTGGTTCTCGAGCTTGATCTCCCGGCGCTGGATGTCCTGTCGGAACCTTCGCCACCATTTCCTGGGGCTGTCCACCAGCCCAAATACTCCCTTCCGTATTGCGATGAGCTGGGACGGATGGAGTCCCGGCAGCCCATGTTTCGGTTGTTGCAGGAACAACCGGCGTTCCATTGCATCTCCGTTCAGGAAAGCAGCGGTGACGTCACCAGCAGCCAACGTCCACTGCTGGTCCAGGCGAGATGCCGTGATTTGGAGAATGCACATCACGGCTGTCCTGGAAACTGTGGGGGAATCCGTTCTCAAAGCTCCAGTCATGATGTCAGGATCACAATGTCCTGCCACGACGAGTCTGGCCTTCGGTCGCCATTCAATGTCCGGCGAGGATCGTCGTTTTGAATAGTTTTTTATCACGGTACGCGAACCGTGATCCGATGATGCGGTCCGGTTCGTTCTTGCGCACCTCCTCGCTCTCCTGGACAGACAACGGCAACAATGCTCCGAGTTGGAGATGTTCCTGCCACTGCTTTGCCTCCGCGGCCTTGAAGAGCTCGTGTTTGTCGAGCGGTATAAGTCTCCATGGCAATTCTTTTTCTATTAATTGCTTTTCCCTGCCTCTTTTGGTCGTCGCACGTTTCATCATTAGAGCCTCCTCCGGCCCCTTTTCACGAAGACGCCGGCGTACAGGTCGAGGCTCTGGGTCTCCGTCTTGGCGTCCTTCAGCAGCCCGGCGTCGCCCTCCATCTGGTGACCTGAGATCCCCGTTCGGAAGTTCCAGGGACTCATCTCCGGCTCCTTCATCCATGGAGAGGTCGTCGATGATGGCCTGCAGCTCGTTCTCGTCGGCGATCTCGGTGGGCATCTCGATGTCCGCCTCGTCAGCGTCTCCCTCCTCGAAGATGTCCTCGTCATCGTGGTCGCGCTCGATGAGGCGTTGTAGATCTTCGCGGGTGGCACGTAGGGCGAACAGCCCGCCCAGCTCCTCCGGTGAAGCCTGTCGGACATGTTCCGGGGCACAAAGGAAACATCTCCCTCCGCGTGCTATCCAGTAGTTCTCGTGCTGGCGCCCAATGACCACACCAGGCCCTCTCCAAGCGCCCTTCTTGTTGTTCTTGTCCTTTCGCCAAAACAAAGCCATTTCTCCATTCGGTAGATCACGGGGTCGGACCCGAGCTCTCTGAAGCGTTCCCCTCCGGATCTTGTCCTCGGCCCGCACACGTAGGAACGCTGCCTTGGCCGAAGACCGGATGCTCTCGCGGCGGCGCTGGGCGTCGTCGGCGGTCTGCGGAATGAGGTGGCCATCGTCGATCTCCTTGTCGTGAATATCGTCTTCATCGCGAGGGCTGCGGCCGAAAACGATATGGGTTGGTGCCCATCCGCACCGTCTTCGTAAATTGTTCTTTGCCATAGATGTAGCCGCAATTGCTGTCTCCACGTCGTCTCCGGTAATGGACGCATCTTCCACCACCCTCATGAATATCTCCTTCCACCACTTGCCGTGCCTCTCACAGAAGCCTGCCTGCCAGTGTGCCTGGCCCGCGCTGGTTTGTAGATCGATCTGGTACCAGTCGCTGAGTCGGGAGAACGCATCCTGGATCCCAGTCTCAAGGTCAAGGGTTATGGTTTTGGGGGCTCCGAAGATCTGGACCCAGTGCTTGAGGAACGTCTTCTCGAGGGTCTCGCCGGTCTGGTTCGGAACCTTGATCACCAACTGGTAGCTGGAGGCGAAGTCGACGATCGAAAGGAGCTTGTGCTTCTTCTTCTCGATGTCATAGGCAAACATCATGTCGACTCCGACCACGTCTCCAAATTCGAGGAGCCGGGGTTCCGAGGAAGGCTTGGGACTGCGGGGTCCTTGGCAACGTAAGCAGGTCTCGCACCTCAAGGATTTCGCAGCCTTCAGTATCTCCGAAGACCCGCCAGCCAAGCGCAGGTGGCGGACAAGGTCGGACACTGAAGGGTGTCCCAAGTTTTGATGCAGCCGTCGTAAAGTGGAGGCAACATCGGGCTTGACTGCCTCGTCGAAGGTGATCCCGGAGGCCCCAAGCTTTAGTTGCTCACGGGGTGCATTGTCTCCTTCGCCTTCCGTGACGTGGGCCTGGTGGTTCTCGCGCAGCCGGGCCTTGTAGAACTTGGTGTCCCCGAAGAAGTGCTCCGTGACTTCTCCGTACTCATTCAACTTTGTACGTATTGTTCCACTGTCCTGCTCGGAGAGATAGGTCATCTCCACCACCAGGCTTCCTTTACGAGCAAGTTGTTCGGGGGCACACCAATCCACCGCGGTGCAGACATCGTTGACACCCCGATCGTGGTTGTCACCGTCGTTGATCGCCGGGTCCTTCGGTGGGTTGATCCAAACAACATTCGGAAGGAAGTCAGAGATGATGCTCAGCACCCGCTGTTTGCCGTTGTTATCCTTGAGCTCGGCCCAGGAAATGGGCTCGGCGATGTCGGCGCTGATTGCCTCAGTGACAGCCAGGGACTGTTGGAAGTCCCCAATTTCGAGGATCGTCACGCCCTTCTCGTGGGCAGTCGTCATCAGAGCCTGGGCCGAAGACAAAGAGGCCAGTGACCACGTCAGAAAGACACTGGCTCGAACTGCCGCTTTCCACAGCGACTTTCTCGTGCTGTAACGGGGAAGCACTCTCCGACAGGGCTTGTCGCGCTCTGTGTCATTCCGCATCTGGATGAACTTCCTGTCCGGGGTGAGGTGCCGTAGGTCTGGCACCGGGTATCCACATTGTCGTAGACGTCGCTTCTCGTTCTTGGTGCTCTCCGCAAAACTCCTCGTAGTAAAACACGTGACAGACCACCTGCTGCCTCCTTCCCAGGGCTCTGTTGCATGACGAAACTCGCCCGGGAACTTGGCAACTTCTCCCTTGGCGGGCAAGACAATGCCCCGTAGGATCTCCCCACCATCGGTGTATCGCTCAACGATCTCCTGGTCCTTGGGAACGTTCTCACCCTTCCCGACTTCACGCCACAGTCCGCCACCAGAGGAGAAGCCTCCGGCACAGGTGAGGTAGTTGAGGGTGCCCCGTAGGTTGTGGTAGTCGCCGTGGATCTTCGCTTCGTTGTTCAGAGACACTGCCATCGACGTCCATCTAGCCTCCGGGTGGTAGTGCAGGATGTAGTGCTTCATGTAGACGCTGAAAGAGGCGTACTCTGCTGACTTGTTGCAGATGCCCCGCAGTCCTCCATGGCTGTAGTAGCCCAGCGAAATACGACGGGTTCCCTTGTCCTCCTCGCCAAACGTGGTTCTCCTCGGCATCGCTCCTCGCTTGGGTAGATACTCTCCAGACTCACCGAAGACGTTCTCCAGGATGGTCGTCAGGGCCTCCACAGAGAAATCCTTTGCCAAGAGCCGGTCCTTGATGATTCCTTCGACGTGATCTGTCAACATGACCATGTACTCGTCTTCAGATTCAGGTTCGTTGGTCACGTCATCCTTTGCTTCCTGGTTGTTGTAGAGCATGAAGTCGCCAAGGGGATTCTCTGTAGCGTCCTGATTCTTCGGGTGTTCTGCTCCAAGCGCGTCCTCCTTTGTGGCCTGGTTGTGGTAGAGCAGGAAGTCGCCAAGGGGATTCCCGGTAGCGTCGTGGTTCTTCAGGTGTTCT